AACGAATGCAGCAGTGAATGCGGCAGCGGCGATACCAACTCTTCACCCAGCAGCAGCTACAGTGAGTCTTGAGGCGGCACGTCCGAGGCTACCGGAGACGTTCAATCCGAATGCGAGATACACCGATGTCTGTCGATTCATTGCAACCCTCGAAATTTACTTCGAAACCGTTGGCTGTACGACCCCGACACACGATGCAATGCGGATTCGGCTCACAGCGACACTGTTGCGAGACCCGGCGCTCGAGTGAATTTACAACACTAACGAGATCCGAGGCGAGGGGTCATAGACGCAGTTTCGGGCAGCTTTAATTCAACGTTTCGAACCGATTAATTTGAGCTACATCGGCAAAAACATTTCGGCAATGTGGCGCAGTACACGCAGCAGATGGACAGCCTCTTCAACCAAATTACCGACCTGATCGAAGGGGAAAAAATTCAAGAGTATACTGAAGGGCAAAAAATGGAAGTTTGTCGACAAGTGATTGCCGCGAAATACAGCAACTACCGCGACAAGGTGTATGCAGCAGAGAGATTCAATGCGCTGATGCGATGTCAACCCGAGGCACGACGCTACGTGCCGGACAGATCTTTTAGCACGGAGCGATCGGCACCACCCACGACCGCCGGCCCGATGGATATCGACAAGATCGACGCGAAGCAGCGGCCGACAAAATATGAGAAGTGCGAATTTTGCGGTGCGGCATGACATCGATTCCTGGCGTGTTGGAAAATGAAGAAGGCACGAGCAGAGCTACAGGGCAACAACAGTGCGGCACCTCCGAAGTAAAAAAACGGGAATCGCCAGTAGCCGCGGATCGAGCTGGCGATCACGAAAAGATCCGGAAAAGGCGAAAAGGCGACGACGTGGCGACTTCGGAGCGGGCGAAAAAAAGGAGATCATGATGGCGCGGTTAAAACGTCACGACTGGCTGGCAACAGGGGAAATTGCCGAGACAACGGGAGGCTCCGTGAAACACGACTCTGCACCGACCAAGAAACTCCAGCCGAACACGTATGAAAGTAAGAATCTGTTTAAGTTATCCTGTAAAGATACTTTAACTACGAATATTACTTCTTGTGATCTTCAAGACTTTGAGAAATTCAGGGGAGATTTAGAGGCTAAGAAAAAGCCCTTAGATATTATCCAGGTACCTGAGAAGTTGGGCAAAGTACACCGGAGCGTTGAAAAGGGTCGTGCATTCAGGTTGTTAAGGCTCCCCATTGCCCACAGGTGAAGCATCCATGGCTGCAAAGGCTTAGGGGAAGGATCCAGGCCTAGGAGAAGTTGAACCGGCATCGGATAAATCCTTCTAGCCCTGCTCATTTGAAAACTGATATTGAGTCAACAGCTTCGAGCGCAGGACCTAGGGGAGATATATTTGACATACCCTATGATCCTATAAGCGACACCATCTACGGTTACTCAGAGCAGCAACAACCACTAATACTTGAGGTGATCTGTTACGGGCAACGCCTTCAGGCACTGGTAGACAGTGGTGCGTCCCACTCGGTGTGCGACCGCGGGACGTTGGAGAAAATTGGAGAACCTTTGGAAGAGACCAAGTTCACGGCAACAATGGTGGACGGTATGAAATTTCCCACCCACGGCGAAGCATTACTGCAGCTGCACATAGGGGAGCTGAGGTGGAAGCCGATGTTGCCGATCACGAACATCAAGGGTTTAGATTTCATCTTGGGGCGAAATTTCTTGAAGTGGTTCAACCCTGAGATCAATTGGGTCAACCAAAAGGCGTGCATCTACAACAACGGGAAACGAGTGGAGCTACGAAGCTTGACGGATACAGGGAACGTTCCTGAAACCACACTGCCACAGTTCAAATGGATGGTGAAGGAGAGTAACACGGGTTACTTAGCACTAGTTGTGGCAGCAGCAGAGGAGGAGAAGCCGAACACAGAGCTACCTGCAGTAGAAAAGGAGGTGTTGGAGCAGTACAAAGACATCGTGCCAGACGACCTACCTGCATAAGTACCTCTAGTACGCACCCACGAGCACGAGATCGTGGAGGAACCAGGTGCGAAACCCGTCTCACGTGCACCATACCGGCTGAGTCCGACAGAACTGACAGACAAGAAGAAACAGATCGAGTATCTACTGGACAGACAACTGATCCGCTCATCTACATCTCCCTACGATGCACCATTTCTCTTCACTCCAAAAACCAGACGGCAGTTTACGGATGTGCATCGACAACCGCGCACTGAACAAACAGACAGTTAAAAACAAATATCCCATACCGCGCATAGACGACCTACTAGACCAACTGGGTGGTGCAACTGTCTTTTGGAAGCTGGACCTACAGTCGAGTTACTGGCAGATCAAGATGGCGAAGCCTAGAAACTGCTAAGATAGCAGCACCACTAACCAACCTACTAAAGAAAGATGGGATATTGCTCATCAGCAAGCCATGGAGCAGCTACAGACAGCACTGACTACAGCGCCAGTACTCATCTTACCGGATCCAGACAAGGACTACGTGGTGGAAGCAGACGCTAGTGACCAAGCAATCGGAGCAGTACTAATGCAGGATCACGGACGCGGTTTGCAGCCTATCGCCTACCTCAGTAAGAAGTTACACGGAGCAGAGTTGAACTACCCCTCATAGCCTCCAAGGCGTGGAGGTGTTACCTAGAGGGAGCCAAGACTGCAGTCTAAACTAACCACCGCAGTCTCAAGCACCTGAAGTCGCAGCCAACGCTCTCACGATGACAGGTGCGGTGGGTGGACATCTTGGAGACCCACTTCCACTACGACATCGTCTACAAACCCGGGCTACACAACAAAGCAGACGCATCGAGCCACCCCGGTCATGTAGCAGGCATCCAGCTCGACGGGATGAACCTTCTACTCAAGGGTCTATTCCAACATGGGCACTCTGTGGACGCAGAGATCGCTACCGCAGAGACTCAGAAGGTGTTACAGTGGGAGAAATACTTGGCGGTAAGGAAGGGCACAGGAAAGATTTGGGTACCGAACTATGCCCCGCTACGGCAGATCCTACTGGAGGAGTTTCACGACGTCCAGTATGCGGGACATTTCGGGAGCAACAAGACATTAGTAGGGATAGCGAAGTATTACTACTGGCCCAGGATGGCAGCAGACGTGCAGCAGTTTGTCACCTCATGCGACACGTGCCAGCGGATGAAGAGTAGCAAGCAGAAAAAAGCAGGGTTACTTCAGCCTCTACGCGTACCGGAGCAGCCATGGCAGGTCGTTAGCCTCGAATTCATCACGAGGCATCCTTCGACCTCACGAGGGCATGACGCTTTTCTCGTGGTGATCGACAAGTTCTCCAAAATGGGACATTTCATACCGACCAACGCCACGGCTAGTGCTGAAGCAACTGCTCGCCACTTCTTCGACTGCATCCTCACCATCCACGACATCCCCGCTACACTCATCTCAAAAAGAGATTCCAAGTTCGCGAGCAAGTTCTAGAGGGAACTCATCGGATTGTTTAGGACAAAGCTTGCGATTTCTTCAGCATACCATCCCTAGACTGACGGACAGACAGAGGGACTCAATGGGTGGTTGAACAGTTACTGCGCACAGCTTGCAAAGACGATGTCAACCACTGGGATCTACAGTTACCGATCCTAGAGTTCGCTTACAACAACGCGTCACATGCAGCCACAGGGAAAACTCCTTTCTTCCTGTGCTACGGACGGGAACTACTTACACCACAGCAGCCAACCACACCGGCACACGTCCAGCTGCACATGACTTCGTCACCACCATGCAGTAGGTATGGGAGAAGACTCAGTGACGCCTCACCACGATGCAGAACTCCCAGAAGCAGTATGCCGATCACCAGCGACGTGATCACTCAGTGGCAATCGAAGATCAGGTGCTCCTCGACACGCGCAACTTGAGCCTGTCTCACCTACCATCCAAACTCCGGCCTCGCTTCTGTGGTCCCATCCACGTTGAGGCACAGGTGATACCAGTAACATTCCACTTGTGCTTATCGACTACGTGGAATCTTCACTGTGCTTTCCTTGTTCAGCTACTGAAGCCCTACAAGGACCCCAACCAGCAGTTCCAAGGACGGCAGCTACCGCCATCACCACCTGTTCTTGTACAGGATGAACCAGAGTACGAAGTGGAGCGCGTTCTCACTCATCGGCGCCGCGGTGGCAAGACCCTTGAGTTCCTGATACGATGGAAGGGATATGACCCCACTGAGGACAGCTGGATTGTAGAAGCTGATTTGGGAAACATACGCCATGCTCTTAAGAACTATCTTGTAAAGCAGGGTGTTTCTCACGCCACCTAGCTTTGAGGGGGGAACGTGTGAGATTACGACGGGGTGGCTTTGCTAGCTTGCCTGGATTTTATTATGCTATCACTAGCTTAGGTCTATTTTATCATGCATAGATATGCTTGATTTCCTAGGTTAGGTGCATTTCTATATGTCATTATAGCACCGAGCAAGGTTACGTGTACCGAACTCAAGCCTTTCGGTTGCCACCGAATTGCTTTCTACCGAGTTCGGGAAGGTTCTGTTTGGGACGCTTCGCGACCCTCAGAACATTCGCGTAACACCTGGGTTACCGTCCTTTTCTTGTGTTGAACCCAGGTGAATGAATCATTTTACAACCCACTTTTCTGTGTTCGATCCTAAGTCCTCACAACATCTGCCTTTATCGACGACCTACATTCCAACCTAATTTAATTGTCCAAAGTGTGGGAGAGTGTAAGGAATTTTAATTCCTTACTGTACCCGCGTTTTAGCGAGTACAACCCGAGGGCCACGCGTCAGATGGTTCGGCCTACATTTTTGCAACCAAACGACTTCCGAGTCGTCCTCGCTCGACCTTCCTGCCTAGCTAGGTTTTCCTTGTATCGTCATTCAATATTCGACATTCTCGTTATTCGTTAATCTGTGTAATCTGTAAGTTCATTCATAACAATGCGCTAGGTTAGGTCCAACAGACAAACATACTACCGAACCTACCATTCAGTTAGGTTTTTTCTCGCTATCCCACGCCTCGAGCACCACTGCCCCACACCCCCGCACTTCGTGCGCCACTGCCCCGCTGCCCCGCGCATCGCGCGCCACTGCCCTGCTGCCCTGCGCGCCGCGCGCGCCCTGCTGCCCAGCGTGCCCCGCTTGCCCTGCGCACCACACGCCCTGCTGCCTCGTGCCCCGCGCGCCCTGCTGCCCTGCGCGCTCCGTGCGCCCTGCTGCCCCGTGCGCCCAGCTTCCCCGCGTGCGCCCCGTACGCTGCCCTGCGCGCGCCTCGTTTGCTGCCCCGTGCGCTGCCCCGCGCGCGCCCTGTACGCTGCCCTGTGCGCGCCCCGTATGCTGCCCCCTGCGTGCCCCGTTCTGCTGCCCCGCGTGCCCCGGTTCGCTGCCCCACGAGCGCCCCGTTCGCTGCCCCGCGCATGCCTCGTATGCTCCCCCGCATGCACCCCGTTCGCTGCCCAGCGCACGCCCTGTCAGCTGCCCTGCGTGCGCCCGGCTTGCTGCCCGTGCGCGCCCCATTCGATGCCCCGCGCACACCCCGTACGCTGCCCCGCGTGCACCTCGTACGCTGCCCCGTGCGCACCCTGTTCACTGCCCATTTGCTGCCCCGCGCGCGCCGCGTATGCTGGCCTGCCCGCGCCCCGTTCGCTGCCCCGCGCGCGCCCCATGCACTGCCTAGTGCGCGCCCCGTTCGCTGCCCTGCGGCACGCGTGTGCCTACTGCCCGCGCGCGCCTGCTGCCCACGCCCCCTACTGCCTATGCGCTTCTGCTGCCTGCACGCCCTGCTGTCCGCGCGCCCTGCTGCCTCCGCGCCCTACTGTCGTTACTGTTACAGTCACTGCAGCATCCGCTACAGCTTCCGCAGCCGCAGCAACTCTCGCGACAGCTGCTGCTAATTGCCGTTGCCTGTCATATCCACAATCAGTGTCTTAGCGGTTGACGAAGACAAACGCCCTTTCAAGTTAGGGTTGTGGCTTGCGTGGTTGCGCATGTATCTCCGGCGTTTCATTAGAGACAGTTTCTCCTTGTTAAAGCACACGTCGGGGTCCCTTCAGTCCCCCACGACTCCCACTGAGCCTGTTGCTGACGCTGGCGAGGACGTGCAGTGGCGGTACCGGGTGGACCGTGCTGCATGTACACAGTGGACGGAGCGCGACGCTGTCGCACAGCGTGCCGTCTGAGCTCACCTGCTGGACGATCAAAGAGCGCATTTTCGTCTGCCCTCAGCGACAGTGATGGCCGACTTGTTGTCCACCCGGAGTACAGATGGCTTCCCGGCATCCAGCTGCCCGAACTCTGCAAGGAGGAAGCGTAGTCGGCGTCCCTCCTTGCCAGCTTCGGTGGCCACCACGTACTCCGGCTCGGTCGACGAGAGCGTCGCGCACTTAATGCTCTGGCTCGCCCAGGAGACTGCGGCCCCTCCATAGACGAACACATAGCCGCCCGTGCTCGTCCGGCTTTGCTTGTCACCGGCGTCATCGGCGTCCACGTAGCCGACCAGCTCCAGCGACTCAGGTCCACCGCTGAACTCCAGGGCGGTGTCACGTGTGTTGGCGAGGTAGGCGAGGCAGCGGTCGACCTCGCGCCAGTGCTGGTCGCTCCTCACCGTGAGGCCGCTCCCCAGCTTGCTGCAAGCGAAGGCGATGTCCGGCCTCCTCGTCGTCGCCGCAAACTGCAGCGAGCCGACCTTCTGCCAGTACTCCTCCTCCTGTCGCTCCTGTGCCTCCTCGTCGTCGAAGGTGAGCTCGGCGTAGGCGTCGACCGAGACCGGCGTCTTCGGGGTGCGCCCAGTCTGCTCATCGTTGATGAAGCGCCTACGCAGCTTGTCGGCGTAGCCCTGCTGGTGCAGCCACAGCTTCCCCGCCGACCTGTCACGGACGATCTCCAGCCCGAGGTACTTCTGCACCGGCGAGATCTCACGCAGCTCGAAGGCGGACTCCAGCAGCTCCTTCAGCTCCTTCAGCATCTCGGTGCTGCTGCTGGCGGCGAGCAGGTCGTCGACGTAGACCAGCACCCAGCAGGCCACTCCGTTGTCGCCGACCTTGAAATACAGAGCCTCGTCGACCTGCCTCTTCTTCCACCCGGCGCCGACCAACACGTCGTTGAGCGCCAAGTACCACAGCAGCGGCGACTGCTTCAGGCCGTACAGGCTGTTCAGCAACTTGCATACCCGGCCGGTTTCGTCGTTGAAGTAGTCCGGCTGGGACATGTAGAGCACCCTGTCGAGCTTGCTCTGCAGGAAGGCGTTCTTCATGTCGAGCTGCATCAGGTTGAGGTTGAGGACGGCGACGATGCTGAGGAAGATCCTCAGCGTTACGTAGCTGCCCACCGGCGCGAACGTCTCATCGTAGTCGGCGCCATACACCTGGGTGAAGCCCTACACGACCAGCCTCGCCTTCTCGCGCTTGACAGTGTCGTCGACGTGGTACTTCGTCGTCAACACCAACCGGTTCTTCATAATGTTCACTCCCGGCGGGCACTCGACCAGCTCCCAAGTGCCCATGTTGATGAGGCTGCAGATCTCCTCCTCCATGGCGGCCTTCACCGCCGGGCCCTTCCAGCTCGCCAACGCCTCCTTCACCGTCATCGTCGAGATGTCCCAACGGTGCTCGGGGTCGGTATGCAAGTCGGGGTCGAGCTCCGAAAACTCCTCATCCTCCTCGGCGTCGTCATATGTCAGGTCGTCATCGTCCACGTCGTACACCGTGGTGAAGGCAGCAGGGACGAAGAAGTCGGGCGGCCTCCAAAGTCGGCCTGACTTCCGGAGTTCAGGCCGAACCTCCACACCGCTGTCGGTGGACTTCTCCCCTTTGTCACCGGCTTCTCTACCCTCGTCGTCCTGCTGCCCCTCAGTCGACTTCCTGTCCGACCTCTCCCCTGTAGTCGGCTCCTCTGCCGATTGCCTAGTTGCCGACTGCTCCGTTGTCGGCATCACCGCTGCCTGCTCCCCTGGCAGCTACTGCCCTGCTGGTGCTCTCTTCGCTGGCTTCACCAAAGTCGGCTGCACCTTCTCGACCTGGTCCTTCCCTATCGATGTCGACTTCATTCCCACGTCGACTTGCCGCTCGACACGTCGGCCACCGGCGATGCCCTGGGCCGGCGCCGAAGGCGACGTCCCACTACTCCCCTCATCGCCGGAGGCCGACATAGGAGGCAGCCCGTGCAGGTCGGCCACGAGGGGAGGGGCAGGGGTCGTAGGGGGAGGGGAAGGAGGACGGACGACCTCGACGTCCTCACCAGCAAGCTCACCAACCTCGGCGAGCAGAGGCAGCGTCGCCGTCGAGAAGTCGGACGGCGGGGTGGTCGGCGTCCGTCCTGACACCGGCTAGTGCTCTTACTTTCACACTTCTAGCGACATATCGTCGTAGAACACCACGTCCGACGTGGTGACCACCCGGTTGTCGGTGATATCGAGGAGCTCCCAGCCCTTGCCCTCCGCTGACACACGGAGATGAAGGCCCCACCTGGCCTTCGGCTTCAGCTTTCCGCCACGCTGCTACTCGGGGACCAAAAACTGTGCCATGCAGCCCCACACCCGTGCCAGCGACAGGTCGGGCTTTTGCCCAGTGAGCAGCTGGTACGGCGTTGTCCCCGGCGGCAGCGTCGACCTCTCAAGGCAGTTGCGAACCCAGACGGCCTGCCGCAGAGCGAGGTGCCACCAGTGGAGCTGCACGCCCATGTGCAACAGCATCATCCGCACCGACTCTACCACCGTCCGCATCTCCCGCTCTGCCATGCCGTTCTGCTGAGGGGTGTATGGGCAGGTCAAGTCGTGGACGATCCCCTTGCCGTCCACGAAGTCGGTGAACTTCTTCCCGAGGAACTCCCCTCCTCGGTCTGAGCGCAGCATCAGCACCGACTGCTTCACCTGCCTCTCCACCAACACCAGCCACTTCTGGAACTCCAGCAGTACACCTGACTTCTTGGCGACCAGCCTCACCCACACATAGCGGGTCTCCCGGTCCTTCAGGAGTAGGAAGTACAAGCTGCCGTCCTTGGCAGCCACCCAGAACAGCCCGCACAGGTCGATGTGCACGACGGCCAGCACGTCGTCGGCGTCGGAGCCTTGGTCGCGGAAGGTGTGCCGCGCAAGCTTCCCGCCGACACACGAGACACACGGTGAGTCGCCGCCCGTCGCCGACTTGAGGTCCAGCCCAGTGGCGACCTCATGCTTCGCCAAGCTCCGTATGGTGTCCATGCCGACGTGCGCAAGCCTCGCATGCATCCGGTCAGGCGTCGACTTCGTCTTCGAGACGATCGTCCGCAGGGCCACAACCTCCGGCGTGGGCGACGTCGACCTCGTTGAGCAGGGACGCAGGTCGGTACAAAGGACACGCCCGGAGTACGTCGCCCGACCGAGCACCTCTCCCGCTGCCGAGACGAGCAGCATCCCGTCGCCGTCCTCCTGCAGCTTCACGCCGTGCTCCTTCAGCTGGCCGGATGACAACAGGTTGGCCCGCACACCCGGGACGTACAGCACGTCGGGGATGAGCACTTGCTTCCCGGCCTCCCCTTGCAGGGCGACAGTGCCGCGGCGCTGGACGTCCTGCAGCGCCCCATTGAGGCCGCGCACGTGCTTGATGGGGCCGCTCGGCTGCAGGTCGACGAAGACTTCCTTCGACCCCATCAGGTAGTGGGAGCAGCCGCTGTCGAGCAGGACCACCGCCGGGTTCGCCTGCACAGCTACCGCCACCGCCTGGAAGTCCTCTCCGGCCTCCGCCGCCAGTGAGATGGTCGGCTCCACGACGCCGACCAGCGAGCACGACGCCGTCTTATCGTCCCGCCAACAGAGGAGTCGGCGTCCTTCGCCGAGGTCGACGTTGTCGACTGCTTCTCCTTGCGCGATTTGTTTCCTCCACGACGAGGACGACGGCTGCCAGACCTCCCACGGCCTCCCTTGGCGTCGTCGTCGTCATCAGAGTCACTGCGGTCGGGGCACTCGAAGGAGAGGTGGTCAGGGTCGCCGCATAGCCAGCACTCCCGACGTCAACCTCCTCCTCCTCGACCGGTGTCCTTGGTCGACCTCTTCTTGTCGACTTTCTTGGCCGACTTCCAGCCACTGCTACCATCGCCGCCAGGCTGGCCGCGCTGCCCTGGTCGACCTCCTTGCTTCGCCGGGGCGACGAAGTGCGCCTGCGCCAAGAGCTCCTGGGACCGCTCAGCCTCCTGCATCGCCTCGTCTGCAGGATGTACAAGGTCAAGTTGTCCTCGTTGAGCGTCGTCCTCGTGCTCGGCGCCATGGACAGCCTCTTTAGGAGGTTGTAGCTGCTTGAGAGGCCCTGCATGACGTGGATGACGTACGACGCCGTCGAGTACTGCGCGCCGGCCATCCTGATGGTGGCGAGAATTCGCCGGGCCCGGTTGCAGTAGTCAGTCGCCGTCTCCTCGTCGCCCATACGTAGGTGCGTCAGCTGCCCCTCCAGCTGGGCGATGAACAAGTCGTCGGTGACCTGGTAGGTCGACTCGATGAAGTGCCACGCCTGGTGGCCGGCGTCGAGGTACTCTCGGCACCACTTCAATGTGATCTGCACGCCCGGCGAGCAGCATCGCGAGATAACCGTGAAGGTCAACAGCTGCACGGCGCGAAACTCCGCACGCAAGTCAGGGTCATCCGCCGTCGCCACGGTGCCTCGAGAAAAGCTGATCAGCCCGGTCATCTCCAGCTGGGGCTCGATGGCTTCCTTCCAGGTGAGTATGTCGGGTCGACCAGTGAGCGGCGGGGTGACCAAGATCCTGTCCAGCGTGAACTTGGAGTAGCCGTAGCTCGGTGCAATCCCGCCCGCCGTCACCTGGGTCGCCGACATCGGCAACAACCCACTCCGTCGACCTCCGACGTTGCCATGCGAGGAGCCTGCAGCCGCCGACGGCCGCACTCCCTGTGCCTGAACGCCGCCGACTTCATCGGCGTGTATCACACCTCTCTGCCTCGACGTGCCTCCCGCACTACTGCCGACCTGGTCACCACCCGCGTTGACGCCTACGTCAGCGCCGACCTCTGTGTTCACCAGTCGAGGAGACGCATGTCGAGAAGGGTGCAATGTCGCCCACATGGTGCGAATGCCAGCCTCCACAACCGCCCAGGGGATCGTTCCGTATTCCTGGGCCCCATGGCGTGTCCTCGCGTCCTCCAGCTGTGCTTCCAGGGTCTCCATTCCCTTGGCGTCACCTACGCGCACGCTAGTGACTGCACGGCTGCCGGCCTACGAACAACTTAGGTAAGTGACCTCTACGTCGACCTGGCTGAAAGGTAAGTCATGTGCCTTCCACGCTCACCGCACCATGCGGAGATAACTACTACAACAGGAGCTAGACTACGGGCTAGGCATGGATGCTCGTGTGATCTCTGCGTTCTCTGTTCCTTAGTCGTTTTCCTAGTGCACACACTGCTTGCTAGTTCACGGGACAAGTTGGCAAGAGTTTCACTAGAGAAAGTTGACAACAATGGTACAATGAAGTTGGCATGGCAAGACTACATCAGAGCTATCATTCTGGTCGGTCGATTGCCAGCGCAGCATGGTCGACCGCGTTCCAGCACGACTTGGTCGACCGCGCTCCAGCAGTGCAAAGTCGACGGCGTGCCAACGCTGCAGGTTGACGGCGTGCCAGCGTTGCTCCCGCAGAACAGCAGCGCACCTACTTCGCAGGTGCTCACCTGCACAGCGCACAAACCAAGTCAGCCTGGTGCTGACGACTGCATATGATCAGCCACGTCGACCTCGGGATACCATCATCGAGGTCGGACTCGCCAACTTCGCATGGGCGACCGTCGCACTCCTCCGCAGAACCTCGTCACCCAGGTAACATGGTCGACTGGGCAACCACGTCGACCAGCTGCTACCGTATGTGCCCGTCGACCTCCCAAGTCGACGACCACCTCCAAGTCGACCCCACGAGGTCCACCGCACCCCTGGTCGACCAGCTCCAGGTCGACGTCACTCGTGGTCGACCAGCTCCATGTCGACCAGCGCAGTTGTCAGCCGACCAGCTCTAGGTCGGCTACCCAAAGTCGTCGTCACCAAGTTGACGACCAGCTATTCGACGCCCAACTGCTCGGCATCCTGAGTCGAGGTCGACGTCGGCCCCTCCTTCGTCGACTACCAGGTCAGGTCGACCACGAGTAAGTCGACCAGCAGGTCTGGTCGACTAACCGCCAGGTCGACCATCAGTCCTATCAGCCGACCATCCAAGTCGGCTGCCCCAAAGTTGGCGTCACCAGGTTGACGCCCTTCGCAGGTCGACTTCCCATGTCGACCTCCCTGAAGTCGGCGCCCGTGCAGTGATCCCCATGCAGGTCGACCTCCTCGTCAACCAGCTCGCCCACTGCTGCAGGTCGGCTCCTCCCCTCACATCCGACCACGAAGTCGGCTCCGCCCAAGCGAGGACGGGGCCAATACACAACTCCCGTTGACACAGAGAACCAATATCAAGCAGCAGAAGGGCTGCGATGCTGATGGGACGGGTGAATCCAAGCAGAAGGGTGGAGAAGAGGGGGGTTCCAGTGGCAAGTAGGAGAGGTGGTGCAAGGGGAGGAAGGGGCAGCGAAGGAAGCGAAGGGTAGGGAAGGCAAGGGTAGGAGAGGAGGGTAGGGGCGAGGTAGTCAGCTACTGTGCCGCTGAGGAAGAATTATGAGGAGGAGGGATGACGGCGGAGTAGTCTGCTGCTGCGCCGCTGAGGGGAGAAACAAGATGAGGAGGGATAATAGCAGAGTAGTGGCATCTCCTCGAGTAGCAGACGGGCTTCCGCTTTCGGTTCTCCTCTACTCAGGCCACTCCTCTACCTACCACTCGCTCTCAGCTCCACCTTCGAACGAGTCTGTAGAGCCAAGTGGCCAGTATCCAGAGCTTGTAGGCTGGCTCTTGTACCTGATGACCTGCACTCAATCTGACCTCACATATCCTCTCAGCATCCTAGCACGCTACATTGCGCCCGGGAGACACCGCCCTGAGCACTAGCGGGCTGCGCAAAGGGTGATGCATTATTTGTGCAGTACATCAGGCGTAGGGCTTCTGCTTGGAGGAATATCAGTTGTGCTCATTAGGCACTCAGACGCTTCTGAGCAGACGACCAGGAGACTCAGCGGCCGTCACAGGGTTACACTTTCAATCTCAACTCTGGTTCTGTCTCATGGAAGTCCACCTGCTCGTCTTCTGTTCTCAGCTCCATTTGTGAGGCTGGGGTTTTGCAGGGGCCATGGCTGCACAGGAATTACGCTGGCTGACCTACTTGCTGACCAACTTGGGTGAGCGGCCTCGTTCTCGGTCCTTTACGTCGACAACAAGGCCATGATTGCCTTGTGTCGAGAGTAGAGATTAGAGCACAGAACGAAGCATATCGCTCTGCTTTAGTTCCTTGCTCGAGAGCTGCAGCAGCGTGGTCAGCTTCGCCTTGCTTACGTGGCCTCGCAGGCCAACACTGCTGATAACTTCACTAAGGCACTAGGGTATGGTGATCATTAGCGTTTTTGCACTGCTCTGGGCCTTGTGCCTACTTTGCCTCACTTGCTTACCTCTTGACTTTGCCTTTTACTGTGTTTTATATATATTCCTACATGCTTACCCTTGCTAGGTTGTGATCACTTTACTGCATGTACTCTTTCTCACTCTGCATGTACTCTTTCTCACTCTGCATGTAAACTGCCATTGTGGTCACTTGCTTATGCTCGGACTGCGTGGTGACTTTGTGATCCACCCTGAGCTTTGTTTTGCTTCTTCTCTTGACTAGTCTTGTGTTGGGTTGTTGTTCTTGCTATCCCCCACTTCGCCTTTGGTGGTGTGTCAAGCTGCATATCTTTGTTGTCTAGGTTGTAATGGGGCAGCCTATAGAAGGTACAACCCATTAGCATTAGTACTTGTACTCACTCCTTGCTGTTAGTCATCATTCCGCTGTACTCTCATTCCGACATACTGTTTCGTGTACAACCTTTGCTTTCGGAATTGCACGTTCGGCCGCTTTGCTCGCTGCCAAAGCAACCCGCGTCGCTTTCGGTTTTCCTTCGCCCAACCTGCACCCAACCGCGTGTTCCCGATGTTCCCTCCTAGCTTGGTTGACCCGCTATATAATCATGTGGCTTTCATTGTATCGTCGGTTTATTTGGTCACAAGCTTCGTCATTCGTTTTCCAAGCAACTATGTTTTACAACTGATAAAACAGTATGCGCTCCCTTGTAACGAATAACTATTCCGCCATCCAACGGTCGCGAATGTGCCTAGAAATTGTCTCAACTCAACCTCCTAACACCACCACCTCCGCTCCGCTTTTGTCGGCCAAATTCGAGTCTGCACAAACATATAACCGTCGTTTGAGTAATGCGTAAGCACCGTGGCTCGGGCAAAGCTCCTCTCAGTACTGCTTATTCAGTCCTGCCGCAGCCCTATTGGACTTTCTTGCATAGGCCGGAGTGAAAAGTCGCGGCCCTCTGCCGTGTGGGCGCGCGGTGCGTCGCGCGCGGTGCGTCGCCAACCATACAATGGCTTCGCGCTCCAGCGCCTGCGACAGTCGAGTCGACGCGCGTGACGGGCCTCCTGAGATGGCGGGAGGGTCTGCCGCATCAGCACTGACCGCGCAACCGCGGGGTGCGGTGGCCAGTGCAAGCCACGCGCACGCTGACGCTCGCAGTCAACAACAATCCATTCGCGCTACCGCCTTCCATACTGCAGCCTCCGTTGCACCCACCACCACCACCACCACCGCCACTACAAGCAGCACCAACGGCAGCGTCGGCGGCGCCAGCCCGCACGCGCGGCCGGGCGCGCCGGCGCCGTGGATGCGCGCCAACATCGAGGCAATGGCGTCGCGCGCGGCGGTGGAGAAGGCGGAGGCGGAGCGGCGGCTGGCGGCGGCGGAGGCACAGCTGCGCGCGGCGCTGGAGGAGCTGTACAACCGGCACCGCAAGCGGTCGGACGCGTACTCGGCGGTGTTTGGCGCGCGGCACCCGCTGTGCCAGCACGGCGACTCGTGCGTGGCGAACGCCGTGGGCAGCCTGTGCCAGAGCTTCCTGCTGGCGTACGGCGTGCGCGTGGGCATCGGCGTGCTGCTGCGCGCCTTCAAGCTCATCCGCAACAAGTCGTTCAAATCCGCGCTCGACCTCCAGGTGCCCGCCCTGACCCCGCTCGCACGCCAACCTCCATCTCTCCTCACCCGCTCCCCTCACCCTCTCCCTTCCCTGTGTCTCGCTCTTTTCCTCGCTCTGTCCTTCCCTTCTTCCCTCATCTCTCCTGCTCCCTCTTTGAATGCCATAGCCCGACGCCACACATCCTTCCCTCTTCCCCCCACCGTCCCCAACCCCTCTCCTCCCCACCAACGCCCCCTGGTGTGCGCGCAGCTGCTGCTGTCGGAGAAGAACCTGATGGTGCGCGAGGAGGCGTGCCGCCTGGGGCTCTTCTTCGGGGGCTTCTCCGGCCTCTACCACGCCACGCGCTGCCTGCTGCGCCGCTGCCGTGACTGCGACACACCTGCCAACGCGTCAGTGCACTCTGCGCTCTGCTCTGCTCTCACAACAAATGCTGCCGCTCCTCCTAGCTGCCTCAGAACGAACCGTATCGGGACGGGATACATTGTTGATCTCTTCCCCCCTACCCCGGCCCTGCGGCCCATGTGCGTCGTACGTGGTGAGGTCAGGGCGTCACACCCACGCCCGCCCTGCGCGTGCAGCTACAGTGGTGCCGAACGGCAAAGAGTGCTTGCACAGTGCTGCACTTGCAGCCATTCGTAAACTGCTACTAGTGGAGAGGCATGTGTTTGGCATGTGGTTGCCATGTGGTTGCCATGTGGTTGGCATGTGGCGGCACTGGTCCACTTATGGTATCGCAGCTGTACAACTGAAACGTCAATGGGGCACCGTGCCGCCAGCAAACCTGGCCCTTACTCCTTCCCGCCTTTGCTTCCCTCTTCCCTGCCACCTCCCACCATCCCATCGCTCGCTGTGCGTCACCACCCCTCCGCCCCCTCTCCTCGTCCCGACGGCGTGTGCATGGTGGGTGGCAGGGCCATAGCGGGGGCGGTGTCAGGGCTGTCCGTGCTGGCTCTCGACGACCCCAACAAGCGCCGCTCCCTCGCCCTCTACCTGCTCGCCAGACTCGCCCAGGTGCCCCCTTGCGCTCGCGCCCCTTGTCCGCCCTTGCGCACTCCCTGCCATGGGCCTCCACTGTCTCTGCGTGGCCCACTTTCCTGTAACCACACTGCAATATCTCCCTTCCTTTCCAACGCTTCCGCTCTCTCTCCACTCCACTTGTTGTTCCGCCTGCCTCTGCACCCACCTCCCTCCTCCCCTCTGTCCCAGTGCGCATGTGCGTCCAAGACCAAGTGGGCGCGAGCGCTGCAGAGGCACCCGCTGACGGGGTATGGGAGCACGGTGCTGTTTGTGTTTGCGTCGGCGCAGATCATGTACGCCTATGTCATGCGCCCTGAGACCCTGCCCTCTTCCTACTGGGACTTCATCTCCCGCACCGGCCCCATCCCCACACCCGTGCTCGAGGTGATGCGCCCACTCGCTCTACCCTCCGTGCTTGCCTGCTTGCCCGCTTTCCTGCCTGCCTGCCAGCCTGCCCGCCCGTCCCACTTGCTCCGCCGTCCCTTCTCATGTGTGCCTCCAAGTTCACATTCGCACCACCTGTTTCACACTCGCCTTGCGCCCCTCCCTCATGGCTTCCCCTCTCCTCACCTCACCGCAACTGCACACCACCCTGTCCTCCACCAATACCCCCCTCCATCTTCTCTCCACCCGCCTTTTCAAACCCGTCCGTGGCAGGCGGTGAGGCGCAGCTGCAGGGGCATGCCCATGAACACACTGGCGCTCACAGCGCTACTACGCGGCCGCACAGGCCAGGTGGCGCCGCTGGGCATGGGGCCCGTGCCCGCCCTCGTGCCCTGCACCATGCTGCACCCCGACTGCTCCTCCTGCCCGCGCGCCCAGCTGGCCGCTGCCAGGAACGCCTTCCGCAAGACGTTTCCGCTGTACCTGTCGCTCACCTTCGTGCCCTTTGTCGTGCTCAACCTGCGCAAGGTGCGCTGCTGCCTCGCTGCTGCTTGTGGGCAGCTTATGGAGTAGCGTGGGGGGCGGTGCATGAGGCGTGAATAGCGGGTGATAGTCCAGATAGTGATTGGCAGCTGTGAGGACTTCCGATACCCACTTGTGTGGTTGAGAAAGGGCCAGTGCAGTCACTGTGTGCCACTCTCCTGCGTTGCCTCTTCCCACATCACCCCACCTCTCCTCTCTCCTGTCTCGCCCCTCCCCCGTGCCTGTGTGAGCAGTTCATGCAGTCGCCCCTGCGCACGGTGTGGCTGGCCACATCGTCCGCCCTGCGCTCCACCTCCTTCATCGCTGTCTTCGTCGGCGTCTACCAGGTTCTCTGCACGCCCCTGCACGCCCCTGCCTTGCGGCATCATGCCACAGGCTCACTTCCTCGCTTGTGTGCTTCATTCTCCCTCTGACACACCTGTGTGATCGCCTCACTAGACCAGGCCCTCTTCTCATGCTGTGCACGTGCCTGCGTGTTGGTGCTCTTGTGTCGAATGTGTGTGCATGTGTGTCGCATGCATGGCAGGCATGTGCGTGCACGCATCGCAAGTTTGTCCTCAAGGACCACAAGCTCTTCTACTGGCTTGCAGGTGGCCCTCCTTCTCCCTGTTGCCCTCTCCCCACTACCAAGCATGCCCACTTCCACACTCTCGCACAACAGCTGTTGGCTTCCCGTGCATTGATTCCTCTAATTACCTGCGCACAGAGCTTCATAACCGTGTTGCTCCAGAATCCACTGCCTCTCGCACACACCCAACCTGCCACCATCCCTTCCCTGCGTCCCGTCCCGTGTTGTGCGGCCATGTGGTCCTACCAGGAGCGGTGGCGGGGCTGTCAGTACTGATAGAGAAGGCGTCGCGGCGGGCGGAGCTGACGCTGTACGTGCTGCCACGCGCACTGGACTCGCTCATCTACATCCTCGTCAACCGCCACATCCTCCCTGATATCAAGATGGCCGAGGTGCTCCCCTCTTTCTCTCTTCCTCTCTCGTGCTCTCTTGTGCTCACATGCACACACACACACACGCGCGCGCGCACGCGCGCGCACACACACACACACACACGTGTGCACGCGCACACAAACACACACACGCACACACACGCACGCACAAACACATACACGCAAACACGCATGCACGCACACGCACACACGCATGCATGCACACGCACGCACACACACACACACACACACGCACGCACGCACGCACGCACACACAAACACACACACGCACACACACATTCTAACACATACCACGATTATGCATCGAAACTCTCTCCATCCCGCCCCCTCTCCATCCCATTCGACTTCCACACACCCTCTGCTCCTCCATCCGCCACCACAACTGCTCTCCTGTTCAACCACCCCGCACGCACCTCCTATCACCTGCACGCCACCACAACCCACTCCCTCCCACAATCATCCCGTAAACCCCCGGATATAAGACCCCCTCCAGTTGTAGACCCCCGGGTCTATAATACGGGGGGTGGGGGGGGGGTTGTACTCTATATGGGTCGTTTGTAGTTATACCCCCCTTTTCTAGTGAAACCATTTTAAGACCACCCACCATCCCTAGGAAGAATGTGGGATTTGGTAGGTTTTATAGTAAAATCGAAGCGATTTCAGAGAGAGAACAAATTTTCTTCCCTTCCAATGAAAGCGTGTGGATATCGCGCAGTCAACGTAGTCAATTTTTTTTCTTTTCGCCACAGCCATTCTGATGATTTCTGCTCTGTCCAGTGGCGAGAGTGATGCCACCTGGCAAACACTCGAGGGTGAGGACACTCGCGCCCTCGCCCATGTTTGAGGCCAAGCTGCAAAGTCAAACTGACACAAATCCACACAACAAACATGTACTCATTCTATACATCCTAAAAAAAAAAACCATGTATTAAGACCCGGGTCTTATAAAATAGGTGACATTTGTGAAGACCCCCACCATTTTGTTTGTGCGATTATGTTAAGACCCTAGGGTCTTATATCCGGGGGTTTACGGCACCTCACCCTCACCACCGGTCCCTACCCCACGTGCCTCGCCCCCCAGGTGGTGCTCTTCTGTGCGTGCATGGGCGGGCTCATGTATTTCCACGACACGGACCCAGCAGCCATGGCGCCCTTTGTGCGTGGCATCCTCAACCGCTTCCTGCACCACTCCTCGCCTCCCCCGCCCACCGACGCCCCCTCCTCCCTTCCCCCTCCCTCCACCACCACCACCCTGCCGCCTCCCTCCACCGTTCCTGCCCCGGCACCCGTGGCCTCGCATCCCACGGCACAAATCACCTCCTCTTCCTCAGCTGCCGCCTCCCCTGCGCTGAGCCGCCTGCGCGTGGCTTCCACGTCTCCAAGAGCTGCGCAGACGGGCAGCACAGCAGCAGGTGCGGTTGGGGCGGGGGGCGGTGGTGCTGTGGCAGGGGATGGGCAGGGAGGGGAGTCGCCGCACAGCCCTGTGACCATGAGCCCCACCGTCACTGCCAAGAAGCTCGAGGCCGCTTTCCAAGGACTCTGATGGCCTGCCATGCCATGCCACCATGACGTGCCATGTGACATGATGTCATGTCATGTGGTTGTTGCACGTGGCATGATGCGTATGGTACCGTACGGTCGCTAGGCCGCTGCTCAGGCAGTTGGCAACACTCTGGAATAAGTGGCGTTTTGGTGCCACTCTGTGCATATCCTTTAATTTAGTGCCTGTCAGTACAACAGCTTCTTTGTTATCTGATTGTATTACATATCATGCCATTTCTAATCCCAACCAGAGAACCTTGTTGGCGAGCGCAGATTTAAACAAACTAGCAAGAAGCAGAGACAGAATATTCAAAGCAGCACAAGGCACACTAAGCACGGCAACGTGTACAAGGAGCCAACCAACCAACCAGACACCACCCGGGCCTTCCAAACGCAATTAGAAACGTGGTGGGTCAGCGTCTTGCAGCAACCAGAAGCCAGTGCAGTCCTCCTCCTCCAGGTCCCTCTGCACAGCCAGGAAGTGCAAGCCCCCGCACGCACGCTTGGCCTCCTCCCATGCACGCGCCTCTGCATCGGCCGCCATGGAGCGGCGGTAGAAGGCGTAGCGCCACGTGTCCGCCACCCCCGTGGCCAGCAGCAGACACGCCTTGGACGGGTCCACCCGCAGCGACGCCAGCTCCAATGCACTCGTCCACGCTGCCAGCGCACACACGGACACAAGCCGCGGGGTTGTGGGGGAGTTGATGGGGAGGGAGTCAGGCAGGGGGGAGGGGGTGAAGGGGTGGGGGGGGGGAGAGGAAAGGGGCGTTGGGGAAGGGGAACAAAGGAGAAGGGGAAGGGGAACGTGGGTTGGGGGTGCATGCGAGCAGCATGAGTGAAAGGAGGGAAGCACAGGGCGGCGAGAACGGCAGGGAGAGACTTGGCAGTGCACAGGTGGTAGGAGTGGGGGGACGCCAAGGGTGGGTGTGGCACTGGAAGCGTGAATGAGGCGCGGGTGTAGTTTCTAGAGCCACGGCAGGCAAACAGGACGGTCACAGAGACAATGAGTGACCTTAGCTGGATCCCAGCGGACAGCAGACGATTGATGGAGAGGTGCAGGAAGCGGGATAGGTAGAGTAGGGAGGGGGAGAGGTAGAGGGAGGGAGAGAGGTAGAGGGAAGGGGAGAGGTAGAGGGAGGGAGAGAGGTAGAGGGAAGGGGAGAGGTAGAGGGAGGGAGAGAGGTAGAGGGAAGGGGAGAGGTAGAGGGAAGGGGAGAGGTAGAGGGAAGGGGAGAGGTACAGAGAGGGGGGGGGGGAGAAAGAGAGGGGTGGAGGGAAAGGGAGGGGGGAAGGGAAAGGGAGGGGGGAAGGAAAGGGAGGGGGGGAGGGAAAGAAGGGGGGGGAGGGAAAGGGAGGGGGGGAGGGAAAGGGAGGGGGGGAGGGAAAGGGAGGGGGGGGAGGGAAAGGGAGGGGGGAGGGAAAGGGAGGGGGGGAGGGAAAGGGAGGGGGGGAGGGAAAGGGAGGGGGGGAGGGAAAGGGAGGGGGGGAGGGAAAGGGAGGGGGGAGGGAAAGGGAGGGGGGGAGGGAAAGGGAGGGGGGAGGGAAAGGGAGGGGGGGAGGGAAAGGGAGGGGGGGAGGTAAAGGGAGGGGGGGAGGGAAAGGGAGGGGGGGAGGGAAAGGGAAGCGGGGGAGGGAAAGGGAGGGGGGAAGGGAAAGAAGGGGGGGGAGGGAAAGGGAGGGAGGGAGGGAAAGGGAGGGGGGGAGGGAAAGGGAGTTGGGAGGGAAAGGGAGTTGAGAGGGAAAGGGACGGGGGGAGGGAAAGGGAGGGGGGGAAGGAAAGGGAGGGGGGAGGGAAAAGGAGGGGGGGAGAGAAAGGGAGGGAGGGAAAAGGATGGGGGGAGGGAAAAGGAGGGGCGGAGACCCCCGGCACGCATGCAGAGACCTGCCAGGCGAGGGCCGGGTGACGGGGGAGTGGGAGAGGGGCGCGGAGGGGGGTGAGTGGGGGAAGGGAAAGGGCAGGGTGGGGAAGAAGGGGGGAAATGAGAGATGGCGTGGGGGAGGCGAGGGGCGGGCGCGGCGCTGACCTGCGAGGGGCGTGGCTCGCGTGGAGGCGACGGCGACGCCCGGCACCATGGAGTCGGGCGGTAGGGACGCGAGGCCCATGGCCGCCAGGTCCAACACGCTCCCGAACATGTCGCCCGCTCGCACCCGCTGCATCTCCTCCAGTATGCCTGCCGTGCACCCACGCACGCACGCGACGGCGAGGCAGGGGCGAGGGGGCGAGGGGCGAGGGGTGAGAAGGAGAGAGAGGTTAGGTGCGAGGGGCGAGGGTGGGAGGGGATGGTAAAGTAAAGACTATTGCAAAGCGAGTAGTAATGGGCGAGTTGGGACTAAGCCCGGTATGGCCGTGGCGCGCACGGCGAACGTGCTCATAACCTAACGCGCCTCGCCCTTACCTCGCTCTCTTCCCATCTTCCCCTCTCCTGTCTCCTCCCTATCCGTCCTTCACCCCCATTTTATCAACGCCACAAGCACGCACACTCACAAGAGCCGCAACGACAGGCACGCGCACAGGCGGTGTTGCTTCACGCTTCCGTCCCTCTCCACCTCACGATGTTATGTGACGCCCTCTCTTCTGTATGTGCCCCACGCAGGACTCACCACACTGACGATTCTCAGCAACCCAACTCTCACTACATCAAAGGCAGCAATAACTGCCTCCCGAACCATTTGGTCCCTGAACGATGATTGCTGTTATTTCCCGCAGGTACCAACCCCCTAAACCAACACGCCTCTACCGCCCTCCGCCCAGCCCCAACACCGCCTGTTCCGCGCTACGGTTACGGCAGCAGCGCGGAGAGGGTGCGGGTGCGCACGAGAGACGGTTGGCGTGGGCGATGACACACAAGGATAAAGGGCACAGCGGGTGGACGCAGTGGCGTTTAAGAACCGACTTGTGACAGCAGTGCACCGACTTGTGACCGCAGTGCACCGACTTGTGACCGCAGTGCACCGACTTGTGACAGCAGTGCACCGACTTGTGACCGCAGTGCACCGACTTGTGACCGCAGTGCACCGACTTGTGACCGCAGTGCACCGACTTGTGACCGCAGTGCACCGACTTGTGACCGCAGTGCACCGACTTGTGACCGCAGTGCACCGACTTGTGACCGCAGTGCACCGACTTGTGACCGCAACGTAATGGATATTGAGTACAGCGGGGCAGCGCGTGGGAGTACTGACCGGAGAGCGGCAGCTGCACGAAGGCCCACTGCTCGCCCCGCAGCGTGTCCGGCAGGTCCTGCGGCGCCGCCGCCTCGAGCTGTAGCAGCGGCGGCGCGTTGGCTTGGAAGTTGGGCTGCACGCGGTACACCGCGTCGTAGCGCTCGTCCAACCACCGCAGCAACGTCACGCACTGCCGCCCCGCCGCGCGGTAGACGAGAATGGATAAGGCGCGGGAGGAAAAGGGGGAGGGGGAAGCGGAGAGGGGGTGGGAAAGGGAGGGTGGGTGGAGAGAGAGGAGCGGGTGAAGGCAAGAAGGAGAGGAGAGGGTGAAGGAAGCGGGTGGGTGGGGGGATAGAGGGAGGCGATATGAAGCAGCTCATGGAGGAGGAACGACAGGGCGATGACATATCAGAATGCGAGGAGCAAGAGCAGAGCGGACACGACACGCGCGGAGAGAGCGGCAGGGAGCGTACCCGCTGGCTAGGCACGGGCTGAATGTCGAGGTCCGTGGCCGCCTTGGATATAATCGTCGCCATCTGCGCCCTGCCGTGCACGCCCGCCCACACGCGCGCACACGGGGAGCAGAGAGGGGCAGGGGAGGGCAGGAATGAGCAAGACAGGGCAGGGGAAAGCAGGGGAAGTAGAGGCGAGGGTGGTATTATGGCGCTGTGGCGGGCTGGGCGCAACGATCGTGGCTGCATCGCTTCCAGGTGTGAACGACGGGGGAGGAAGAAAAGACAGAGTGGCGCGTACACACAGAGAGCACACATGACGCGAGACTGGGATACGGACAGGTTAATGGTAACGTGAGGGAAAACAGGGAAGAAACTATCGCATTGTTCATCGCTACTGAGCCATGAACGCCGCGCGTGGTGGATTTTGGACCGGCAGCACGCGTGGTTACGACAAGTCGCGCAATATGCTCAGCGTCTGCCGCACTCAGTAGACAGCCGAGCCGCGGCTGCCCTATCGAACGAACAAACAAATCCGAGCCGAGCGCAACAGACGATCGGGAAAGAAATGAACGGACACAAGAATGAGAAGTTGGATCGGATCCGATCGGGCAGCAGCAGGCGCACCTAAAGAAGCGGATCTTCTGCGGCTTGGGCGCGCCCGTGGCGTCCATTACTCGCAGGAGCGCGTCCTTGAGCGTGGCGGAGTTGATGCGATTGGACGGGAAGTACTCGGCGAATTGTAGTCGCCGGCTGCTGTCGCACACCAGCAGCTCCCACACGCGCTTGCCGCGCTCGTCGAGAAGCGGGCGCGAGCAGAAGTCCAGCTCCCACTCCATCACGTCCGACAGGTCCACCACGCTCGCCGCCGCCTCCTCTACCGCTGCCACATCGGCTCCGCTGCTACCTGCCACGTCGGCCTCCTGCGTGCGCGCGGCCGTGGCGTCCGTGCCGTGGTGCTCCGCCAGACTGCTGCGCGCCACCCACCGCCCCCTGCTACCTCTGCTCCCGCCGAACCGACCCTCCTCGCCCGTATGCCCCGCGCTGCGCCGCGCATTCCGCCTGGCCGTGCTGGGCGCATTTGCGGACGACTGCAGCGCGAGCCGCCGCGGGGGACGCGCAGATGGGTCCGGCGCGACGCATCTGTCGAGGCGCGAGGATGATTGCACCTCCAAAACGTCACCTGAGAAAAAAACAGGCCTCGCGATAAGCCGACCCACAGCTACTTCCATGATGGAGACCTCAGTGGACGCCTAAGGGAAGGTGTTTCACGATCTCCAGCGCACGGGTAATGCGGAGATCAGTGAGACGCGCTGCACGATCATGTAGTGGGCATGGGATGGACAAGGCTGCGGGAGGGGAGAGAGGACCCAAGCAGGCGTTGGAGTGGCGAGGGGGGAGAAACACAAGTGAGATCGAGGCGGGGGAGGGAGGGGTAAGGGCAGTCTGGGAGAGAGGAAGGGATGTGCACCTAGTGGGGGCAGCCCGGAGCCACGAGCAGAGTGCCGCCGTGGAGACGCGTGGCGCGCACAGGGATGGTCGCGAGCAAGCAGGGCCACGTCGGATTGTTATCCTCCCCTCATTTGAGCATCCTCGTGTCATTGGGGACGTTTGGACGGGAACCTGTACCAAGGGGCAACGATCAAGGTTTTGGATTGCGTGCTGGGCACTGGGCAAATCAGCCGTACTCTTTAACAAATCTCATGTAATGCACTTCAAAAACTTATCTTTTCAATAACTCCTCAAACAAACATTCATGAAACTACTTGCATAGATGACTAAGAATAACTAGCATCAAGTACTAATTGTGAACTGTAAAAGTTGGCATCAATTAGAGACAATTATATATAATATATTTCATATCTTGAATTTTATGTTTTTTTCTTAAGTCCAAAAAATATATATTAAGGCATTTTTGGTCATATAAGGGTGTGTAAGATCCCCGTGGACACAGATTCTGTTGGAGTATAAAGGGAATTACACTTAACATTCCCGTAGGTGCAGCAGTATCGCACCAGTCTCTGTCGAAGCAGCAACAACCGTAGTATCGGATCAGCCCGTATCTAGGGTAGGAAGGTTAATAGTCGCAAGAGTCAACTGTCGCGACTGTTGACCATCTGGACCGACGCTTGACTCACCATCGAAAGAATGGCAACAGGCGTAACCGTATACACAGGTTACTGTCAAAGTATATGCATGCTATATATGTGTAGGCTGTAGTGGGGTAGCCAATATGGGGTACAGTCCCGTTTAGGGTTTCATACTTGTACCCTATTCTTCCATAGTGCATCTCATTCCTACTGCTAGATTCTAACATGGTTTCAGAGCACTAGGTCCGTAGGACCGTCGATTTTTTCGGGCCCACCTACCGTTGCGGTTACCGCGTTACCCCACGTGTTGTCCTGTGTCTGCCTGCATGCCTTGCCTTGTGATGTGCTGCGCTGCGCGTGCCGTCCTGCAGCCCTCGTGCTGCCTCCTGCTGCCCTAGGCCAGCGCGCCGCCCCTGCAGGCCCGTAAGGCCCACACGCCGCCCCTGCAGGCTCGTAAGGCCCACGCGCCGCCCCTGCAGGCCCGTCAGGCCCACGAGCCGCCCCTGCAGGCCCGTCAGGCCCGCGAGCCGCCCCTGCAGGCCCGTCAGGCCCGCGAGCCGCCCCTGCAGGCCCGTCAGGCCAGAGCGCCGCCCCGCCAGGTCGCTGACGCGGCCCCGCCCTGCCGCTGACGCGGCCCCGCCCTGCCGCGGTCGCGGCCCCGCCCTGCCGCCGACGCGGCCCCGCCAGGTCGCTGTCGCGGCCCCGCCAGGTCGCGGTCGCGGCCCGCCCTGCCGCTGACGCGGCCCCGCCCTGCCTCTGACGCTGCCGCGCCCTGCCACAGACGCAACCCCGCCCCGCCTCTGACGCGGCCGTGCCCTGCTGCCGACGCGGCCCCGCCCTGCCTCTGACGCGGCCGCGCCCTGCCGCCAACGCGGCCCCGCCCTGCCGCGGTCGTGGCCCCACCCTGCCGCCGACGCGGCCCCGCCAGGTCGCTGTCGCGGCCCCGCCAGGTCGCTGTCGCGGCCCGGCCTGCCGCTGACGCGGCCCCGCCCTGCCTCTGACGCGGCCGCGCCCTGCCACCGACGCGGCCCCGCCCTGCCTCTGATGCGGCCGCGCCCTGCCGCCGACGCGGCCCCGCCCGGACGCCGACGCGGCCCCGCCAGCCCTGCAGCTGACGCGGCCCCGACCTGCCGCTGGCGCGGCCCCGCCCTGCAGCTGCCGCGGCCCTACTCTGCAGCCGCTGTTGCGGCCCCGCCGAGCGCCGGCCCTGCCCGCCACTGGTGAGCACCTACCTTGTTCGCGCACTGCCGTGTCCTCTGCCTGCGTGTCTGCCTGCCTGCCTGCCTGCCTGCCTGCCTGCCTGCGTGCCTGCCGCGCCTGCCCTGCCCGCGCTGCTGCTGCTACTACTGCTGCTACTACTGCTACTGCTGCTACTGGCGGTGGCCAGATGCAGCTCCAGCGACGTCCGCGCGAGTCTCTCACGCCCCAGCAGCTTCATGAATGGTACGCTAGTTGGGGTTGTGGCGGTAGCCGTCGTGGCTGTCGCCCTGGAGTTGGTTAGTCGGGAGCGTCTGGCAGTGGCCAGCTGCAGCTGCAGCGACGTCCGCGCGAGACAATTTTGCCCCAGCAGCTTCGTGAATGGTACGCTCAGAGTAGAGGGTCTTTGAGTACCGTTCGCTACCCGTACGTCATTCGCACAAGTGATCGGGCTAGTCAGGCTTGCGGGACGCTTGGTCACACACAGTCCCGCTGCTTCGCCCGTCTGAGCGACGCCTGGCGTACCGAGTTTGGCGACGAGGCTAAGCTCCCCACCTGGCTGGAGTTGCTTGGACAGAGGGTAGATATCTTTGCTCTTGACTATGATGCTATTCTCACTGCCATGTATGCATTGCCTATTAGTGCTGACCGTGTCTGTTACCTGTGCGTACCGCCTGTTACTACTTTCTTGTTACCGAGTCGCTGCATGTAACTGTTAGAATCTACCAGTAGGAATGAGTTGCACTATGGAAGAGTAGGGTGCAAGTATGAAACCCTAAACGGGGCTGTACCCCATATTGGCTACCCCACTACAGCCTACACATATATAGCATGCATATACTTTGACACACCCCCATAGGCAAAGTGGGGGAGAACAAGGGGTCACAAGACGAGTCAAGAGAAGCAAAGCAAGCTCAGGGTGGATCACAACGTCACCATACACACTGAGCACAAGCAAAGGGCCACAAGGCCAGTTCACATGCAGAGGTGTATATGCAACAACAACAGCACAGTGATCTCTACCTAGCAGAGCCAGCATGCAGGTATATATATAGATCACAGTACAAGCAAAGTCTACAGCAAGTGAGGAAACGTGGGCACAAGGCCTAACAAAGTACAAAAACGCTGATGATCACCAGACGAAAGTGCCTTGGTAAATATATCAGCAGTGTTGGCCCGAATGGCCACGTGAGCAAGACGAAGCTGACCACGCTGCTGCAACTCTCGAGCCAGGAAGTAACGCAGAGCGATGTGCTTTGTTCTGTACTCCAGTCTGTGCTCCTGACACAAGGCAATGGTGGCCTTGTTGTCTACGTACAGAACTGGAGGAGAACGAGGCCGCTCTCCCAAGTTAGTCAGCAGGTAGGTGAGCCAGCGTAACTCCTGTGCAGCCATGGCTGTGGCGTAGATCTCAGCCTCACAACTGGAGCTGAGAACAGAAGACGAGCGGGTAGACCGCCAAGAAACAGAGCCGCAGCCAAGGCTGAAAGTGTAACCCTGTGACGACCGCTGCGTAGGCTGGCCGTCAACCCAAGAAGCGTCTGAGTGCCCAGTGAGGACAACTGAGCTCCGCCCTCCAAACACGAGCCCCATGCCCGATGTACTGCACAAGTAGCGCAGTACCCTCTTCACAGCATCCATGTGCACCTTTCGGTGCATACCAGGAGCCACGTAGCGTGCCAGGAGGCCAAGAGGGTATGCAAGGTCAGGACAAGTGCAGGTCGTCAGGTACATGAGGCAGCCCACTAGCTCTGGGTACGGGCCACTTGACTCTGCGGACTCGTCCGAAGGTGGAGCTGAGAGCGAGTGACCTGTAGCCAGAGGAGTGGACTGTGGCGAGGACCAAGTGAAGGACCTGCAGCACCATGTGTGACTGAGTCAGTGTGATGGTGCGGCGTGCTCTGTCCCGGGTGATCTGCAAGCCAAGGTAACTGCGCAGCTCACCCAGGTCTGTGCACGTGTGTCTCTTCTGCAGCTCCGACTTCACAAGGGCGAGAGCCTCAGTGTCAGCAGTGGCAAAGACCAAGTCGTCGACGTACACGAGGATGTAGAACGACGGCAGTGAAGTGTCGGTGCGTAGAAACAGCAGTGGAAGGGGCAAACCCAAGAGCCGCAAGTGTCGTCCTCAGCGTGTCGTGCCACTCACGAGGTGCCTGACGGAGACCGTAGACTGGCCGACGGAGGCTCCATTGGGTACCAGGAGGGAACGACCCAGTGAAGCCAGGTGGGCGGGGCAGCCAGATCTCCTCGTGCAGACTACCGTGTAAGAACGCTGTGCTGAAGTCCGGAGAGTGAAGCTCGTAGTCACGCTGAGCGGCAACGTGCAGCAGCACCCGAAGAGTGGTCATCTTCAGGGTGGGGAAGAAGGTCTGGAAGAAGTCAACTCCCTGTCGCTGACTGAAGCCTCGTGCAACGTAACGAGCCTTGAAGGCAGGCAGAGAACCCGGCGGCCGCTTCATCCTCAAAATCCACATGCCATCGACGATGTTCGCCCCAGGAGGGGGAACCTCATTGACGTAAGTGCCTGTGGACTTCCAGGATGCCATCTCTGCGTCTATGGCTGACTGCCACTGAGAGGAGTAGGGACCCTCTATCGCCTCAGCGTAAGAACGCGGAGTCGGGATGTCTGGTGCATCCGGGTCTCCCTCAGGGGCAAGCAGCATGGCCACGAGATGAGGCGCAGCGGCTGCAAGACACTCAAAGTCCTCCTGCCTGTCCTCAAGGACGTCCGTGCCAAGAGCACACTCACCCCCGACGGACGGAGGACAGATAGACTCAGACTCAGCAACAAGACTAGCAGCGTAGTCTAGACGACAGGCAGCAGCAAAGTCAACAAGCTCAGAGACTAAGGCAGACGCAGCAGCAGACTCAAACGACGGGTCAGTGACAACAGTGGCGAGCAGACGCGTGAGAGTAGGGTGAGCAACACGAACCAGGTCAGACTC